TTACAGGCGCCTGCCACCACATCCAGCTAATTTTTTGTATTTTTTGTAGAGATAGGGTTTCACTATGTTGGTCAGGCTGGTCTTGTACTCCTGACCTCGAGATCCACCCGGCTTGGCCTCCCAAAGTGCTGGGATTACGGGCGTGAGCCACTGCGCCCGGTCATGATTAATTTCTTACATATGATTATGTTAGTTTGCTCCAGGTGAGAAAAAGTGGCTGCAACAACAGTAAATGAGCTCTCCATACTTCTGACAGGCTGTGAGTGATGGCCTCTGTTCTAGGTACCAGCCTCGGGGCAGCCACCTGTCAGGCAGACCTATTTCTGGCAGACAGGAGGGTGGAGGAAGGGCTGAGTCTGGGCAAGGGGACCACACCACAGTGCTTTGTCAGGTGTTGTCCAAACCCCCATCAAGGACTGACGATGGGAGCCATGTGGCATCCTCCCCATCGGCAGCCACCGCCATCACAAGGGAGAATCTGTAACTATGCCACAGGTGGCCAGAGACCAGGGGCAAGAGAAGACAGGGACTGACATGGATGCCAAGGTTTTCTTCCTTGTTTTTGTTTTCATGGCCCCCAATAAACAACCTATTTTCTGCTGTGGTCATGTTGATTCTATGAGTGGGACCGGAATGTGCTTTGATGAGCTATATCCCCTGTCCCAAATGTCCTGAGTCAACTCGCCCTCCTCATAGACCCTCAGGAATCTCACCGAGTAGGTAGCCTGACTGGTACGAAGATCCTCACTTTGCCGCCAAGCAAACCATGACAAGCTAAGGTACAATGAAGAGGCCAAGGTCTTGGCTGGAAAATGTTAGAATCTTGGGCTCAAATATAGGAGACCTGTAGTTGAGGGCAGGGCTGGAGGTGGCAGGATGAGGCCCAGGCCCATGGGGCCTCCCATATTCCCGCTTCCTCCTGCCCAGCACCCAGAGGACCTCCTCTCAGGGCGCATAGTGGGGAAGCTGGGTGTGCTCACATCAGGCATGCAAGGAAACAGAAGGACCACAGCTGTGCCAGAGGTGGGGAGTCAATAGAGGAAGGAGAGAAAGCCCCCAGTTTGACCCACCCACAGAGGGCATCACCAGTGCCCTCCCAGTGAGCTCATGAGCTCAGTTCCACCTCAACCTCAAACTTCTTCAGAGCAACAGGAAAGGGGGTGGGATAGCGTCATGGTTAGGAATGCAGGCTTGAGAGACCGAGACAGTGCTTCAAATCATAGCTCCAGCCTCTAGCTGGCCCTAAGCTCCTACAGCTGACCATCCCAAGAAGGCAGCAACTAGCCACCTGAGACTATTTAAATGCAATTATTAAAATGAAATTAAATTTAAAATGCAGTTCCTCAGTCACCGCAGCTGCATTTCAAGTGCTCACTAACCAGTATGTGGCTAGGGTTACCATACTGGACCATGCACATATAGAGCATCTCCATCACCACAGAAATGTCTATTGATCAATGCTGCTCCAGACAAAACTGCTGGGATTACAGGTGTCAGCCACTGTGTCCAGATAGCAATTTGCTAAAGTTTTCCAAGTCTCAGTTTCCTCATCCGTAATGTGGGCATAATAATAGAACCTACCTCATAAGGCTGGATTAAACAAAATAATCCAATCAACACAGGGCCTGGTATATACGAAGCACTTAGTAAGTGCTAACTGGTCATGTATTATTTATTTATTTATTTACTTATTTATTATTTTTTTGAGACAGAGTCTCACTTTATCACCCAGGCTGGAGTGCAGTGGCACGATCTTGGCTTATTGCAACCTCCGCCTCCCGGGTTCAAGTGATTTTCCTGTTTCAGCCCCCAGAGTAGCTGGGATTATAGGCGTATGCCACCACGCCTGGCTAATTTTTGTATTTTTAGCAGAGATGAGGTTTTGCCGTGTTGGCCAGGCTGGTCTCGAACTCCTGACCTCAGGTATCCACCCGCCTCAGCCTCCCAAAATGCTGGGATTACAGGTGTGAGCCACCGCACCCGGCCTGGCCATGTACTTTTATTTGCACCCCACACTAAGTTTATTTGCTTCATGGGCAGTTACTTCCATCACCCTAAATCACTTGTTGCTGATAACATCCCTAGGCAGATTGCAAGTGCTAAATAAAGGCTGCTGGCCTGGTGCTAGCTCTACCTCACTTTCCTATCCACATTTTTGTCTTCTCATCCGTAAAATGGGAATGTCACCACCTGTCACATGTCCCTCCAAGAGAAATGTATGGCACAATGTTATCGCCAGGAAGAGATGTGAAAGGGCTTGAGAAAGTCGATGAGACTCTCCAAACAGAAGAAACTGTTTAGAGAGATGTAGCACTTGGCACCTAGTTGGCACTCAATAAATACTTGTGTGATGGATGTGGGCAGCGGTGCGGAATGCTTTGCTTTGGTTAAGCACACTTTTCACACTCCCTAGCCACCCGCCCCCATCCACACATCCGCTTTGGGAGAATGACTGTGGTCTCAACAGAATTATTCAGTGGGGTGGAAAGGATGGGAGGGAACTGAGGAGCTGGTAAGGACCAGGTCCTGCCCGCACAGACCCTGCCCCCTAAATCACAGTCCATGGGGCCGCATTCTCTAGTTATCCATTCCCTGGTTCCCATGGCTCCCAACCAGGAATTGAGATCTGTAGACCCTCAAAAGCAGGCCCTATTGGGGTGGACCCCAATAGGGGACTGGGCAGCCAGCCCTGGTTACCATAGCACTGGGCAGGGGGAGGGTGAGGAGTAAGAAGGGGAGGGGCAGGAGCAAGAGAGGGCGGTGGCTGCACGCAGGCCTCTTCCCACAAGACACTGCCCACTGCCTCCCTCTACCTACTCCCCAGTGGGCCCACGGGCAAACTGCTGGATACCCTCCCCTGATTCCACCCCTCACTCCCTGCAGACTCCAGGCCTGGGACCACCCCTTGCCAGATGTCTGTACCATCCCCAGGTTCCACCCACTTTTGCTGCTCTCAAGTCCACTGGCCCCCATCCAGTCACTCTGGACTAAACAGTGCCTTGTAGGGTAAGAAAGTCAGCTTGCTCTACACAGCCAGAGCCAAGTCTGGACCCACATGCCTGCCCCCCAGGCCCTGGGGCCCCCGAGCCAGCCTGACTTAAGGAGGTGCTGTCTTGCTGCAATGCCTGATGCAACAGACTAATGTGATGAAGGCTTTCTGGCTCCCCAGGGCAGAGGTGCAGAGATGCTGTGATGAGCTGAGGATACAGGGGCTGGGAAATACGGAGGGTCTGCAGGATATGGCCTTCCAAGGGGAGAGGTGGAGTCCCCAAGGCACAGGGTTTCACAGGGCTGAAGAAAGGGACAGAGAAAGATAAGGCACTTCCCAGATCCTCGTAGAAACCTGAGCTCTTGTACACAACATCACCCGTTAATAATGCTAACAACTAACATTTGTCTACAGCTTTACAGTTCATAAAGCTCGTTCACACATTCGCTTTCATCCGTGAGGATGGTGTCATTATCTCTGGTTTACAAATGAGGAAACTGAAGCTCCGGAGGTTCTATGCCGCAAATACAGAACTCCCAGTCAAGGGCTGACAGCTGCCTCGCCCCAAGTTGCCTTTCCAACCTTAAAAGGCTCCCAAATGGCCCTGAGCCAATATCGGGGCACCCCGCATCCCACCCCTCGCCAAATTTCAGCCCAAGCCAGGTATTGACTGGAGTCTTGGAGCCAGGCCTGGGCCCCCTCAGGGGAGCTGGGAGCTGAGTCAGAAGCCAGATCTCGGAGGTGATGGAAGGACAGAAGCATGTGGTGGAGGGATGGGCATGATTCAGCGGGGTAGGAGGGGTAGGAGGAGGAGAAAGCCTGGAAAATGGGCTCCTGGGAGGGATATGCAGCTAAGGAGGATGAAGACCTGCAGTGGCACAAGCCAGACCATGCAACCAAAGGCTCTGTTGGAGCACGAGACTGTGTTCAGACGCATCAAGAACTCCCTCACTGCTCAGGTGCTGAGGCCCTGGGATGGGCACACAGGCTCTGCCATCTTGTCTCCTGCAGCCCTTCGTGGAAGAAAGGGACAGAACATCGTGTGCTGTTCCCCATCTTGGCATGTCCCGCCTTCCCCGTGCCGGTCTAAATCCCAGCCTCCTTCAGGGCGCCAAAGTTTCTCAGCGCAGGCATCCCAGAACACTAAGCAACTGCTCGGATGTCCTCAGCACTAGATTCATCTGCCCTACACTGTCCCCCAACCTAGGTCCCCTGATCCAGGTCTGGTCACCCAGTGGGAACCCCCTTGAGGGTTGAGTGTGTTTTCCTCCTGTAACGCCCCCTGACCATCCCCACCTCCCCGAACCCCAGGCCCGGGGTCAGTGCATTGTCAGGCCCAGCAAGCTGAATGAGCTGAACTGGCCATGTATACCGACACTGATCCAGCTGAACCAGAAAGAAACTGGGCTGAATCCCAAAGAAAGTAGTCTGACACCAAGTAAGGGCTTTCACAAAAATAGAAAACAAGGCGGTCTCGGCACTGCCAGCCCCTGAGAAGTGCTCTTCGCTGTACCCTTTTTACGACTTCGGGTTCAAGAAAAGGAGGGGGGAAGTGGCTTGTGGCACTCGAAAGCATCTCTTTTTACTGGGAGGGGGGACTGTCTTACAGGGGAAATGACTTCAGAAGGCTCGTGGTGGCTCTTAAGCCCTGTGAGCAGAGAGATTCTTTTTCTGGGAAACTCAAGGACAATTTGCTTTCCCCACAGGACCCTGTTCAGGGAAATGCCATGGGAGGATGGCATTTAGAGGATAGCTAAAGACAAATTTCACTGACTTCATGAATTGGCCAGCCTTGTGTGTGCCTTGGGGATTTGGCCCCTGCCCTGAGGCCAGGGCCATTTAAAATGCTTTCACCAGAGCTGCTGACATCTAGAAGGGACTGCACGGACTGTGCACGCTGGCGGGGAGCCCGAGCTCAAGGCTGAGAGTGGGAAGGGAGGGGGATTGGGCCTGGGCCAGGGAAGAGTCACAGTTTGCCCCCACCCAGTCCCAGGGTTGATGGGCTCCCTACCGGGTCTCACGGTCAGTGAGGCGGCACAGGTGGCCTGGCCCAGCTCGTTGATGGCCGTGGCCATATAGCTCCCGGCGTCCGCTGCCCTGGCCTCCCTGAGCAGCAGGGTGTGCCGCTCACCCTCAGCCCGGAGGAGGAGGCGGCCCTCGCTGCGCAGCGCTGACCCATCCTTGTGCCAGGACACTGTGGGGAGGCACGGGGACCCGGCTCGCCACGGCCCACGGGCGCCCACCGAGAATCTCTCACTCCTACCCCACACACCACACAGGAGCCCAAACCTCTCCTCTCAGCACCCCAGGGAATCCAGAAAAGTCCACCCTCATTTCAGGAAGCCCAGGTTGCCCTCCCCTCTCTCAGGGGTCCTGGGAAATGTCCCTGAACACACACAGAAGTCAGGGCAGCCCCATGGAGGGGATAATTCCCCTCCTTCCCACCCCTCCCATGGGGGAGTCGGGGGGAACCTCCCCTTCCCTTCTCACACGCCCCCTCCCAACCTTGACCTCACCTTGGCCTAGTACTGGAGCTCACCTTGGGGCGGGGGGTTGGCAGTGACGATACACTTGAGCAGCACATCTGCCCCTGGTGCCACCACCACATTCTGCAGGGGGATCTCAAACATGGGGGCCTCTAGGGGCTCTTCTCCAGCGGACACATAGGAGTCATCCGAAGACTCTGTGGGACACAGGAGTAACGGGGTAAGGGGCCATGATCCCTGCAGGGATGACAGCAGGAGAGGGAGTCCTGGTGGCCTGCATCCTAGAAAGTCAAACCCAGACAGAGGGGCTTCCAGAAAGCAGGGACTGAGGGAGAACAGGGTCTGCCTCCTGAATGTCCGTAGGGAACAAAGGAAGTCAGAAGGAGCATTCTCAAACAGGTCAGGGCAGCCTTGACTCCATGGTAGTCTGACTGTTCCTCAACTTCATCCACAGTTAGAGCGTTGGCTTCTGGAGGAAGACAGGACCGCACTGCATATGTCTTTAATACATCAGCCATCGTGTATGGCGTACCACGCCCTGTGCAAGGCACTTGGAGGAGCACAAGCTTTCAAACAGACAGCACAAACTAACAGCAACCCAAGACTTAAGTAATAACAGTGGTGGCACAGGGCAACACGAGGTGAATTGTCAAATGTGTGAAGCCATCAGATTCACAAGAGTGAATGGTAGGCGGTCTGAGAGACCTACGAAGATCAGATTTGATTTCATCCATTCACCAAATAGTGACCCTGTACTCCCGGCATACTGAGTACTGTACGGGTACCAAGAACACGAGAGGAAGGACCATGTGGTCCCTGCTTACAGGAAGCTCATACACACAGAGAGATGACAAACTCCACTGTCATGGGTCTCTCTGGGCATTCTCCAACTCTGACATTCCGTAAGCTAGATAAAGGATGATGTATGTAGCCAAAAAAGCAGTGAAAATCCCAATTCTGCTGTTTTCCGGCTACAAAACCTTAGGCAAATTAGATCGCCTCTCTGAGCCTCAGTTTTGTTATCTGTAAGATGGAGCGGATAAGACTCTCTGAAACTGACATATAGGCTGAAGTGAAATAACATCTGTAAGGGCCTAGTTAACACAGTGCTGGCACATGGCTGTGTGTTTGCAATAATGGTGGCCAGGAGGATGATGGACAGGGGCCTAATTATCTCTAAAGATTCTGAGGTGGTAATACTTAAATGCAAAATAATTTTGATGAAGAAAAATACACACTAGTAAGTACAATGAAAGAGATCTTGGCAGGGTCTCCCAGGAGCAGCAGGTAGAGGCATCTATTCTGGAGGAGCAGTGGAAGTGGGTCAAGGACACCTTCCGCCGCCTCTCTCCAGGAGTGGGCCTCCAGTTGATGTGCAGGATGAGGGGTGGGGTGCAGAGTCATTCTCCTGTTGGTGATGTTGGTCACCACCCATGGGAAGGTTGGGAGACAACACACAGGCAGTCACTGTGTAGGGACCACAGTCAGCTCAGTCATGCAGGGTGTAAGCCTGGGTGAGGAGGCTAGAAGGGGAGGCTGAATGGCCACACATGGATCAGGGGATGGTGCCCGAGTGGGAGAGGCAGAGTAGAGTTTTGTGGCATAAAGCGTGTCTGTAACAGGAATTTGCAAATTATTTCAGACCATCTACCATCTCTCCCCAACAGAGGGATTGGGGGCATGAAGGGGAGCCTTAGGCTCCCACCAGTGCATCCCCCCCAGTAGTGGTTATTGATCCAACAGCCTAGCGGGCCACTGGACCCAGGGGAGCTATGGCGGGCATCTGGGCACCAATCTTAGCTCACAGCCTCACCCAGCCTCCATCACAACACTCACGCTCCGCCTCACCAGTGGCAGTCCTAGCACAAGGACTTTCACAATCCTTCACTCAAAGTGGAGCCTGTGTCTGCGCCTTCTCTGGCAAACCCACCCTTGCAGCAGACTAGCAGCCCCAGGCGAAACCCCCGACCGAACCCCCCCACCCCACCC